GGTTGAAATTCTTATTCTCTGTTCTCTGTTCCCTGTTTTATTGTGTGGAGCCCCTTATGCTGGATTCGCACTGCATCCGATGTGCGTCGTATGACGCTCTGCAATCAATCAGAAAACAGGATTCCGATGGATTTTGCTTCGTATCATCGGAATCCTGTTTCCTGATTAGTTGCAGAGCGTTGTACGACGCAAATCGGATACAGTGTGAATCCAGCATTATGGTCAGGGGCCCTATTCTTGAAAAGTATCGCATACGAAAAATTAGAGAAATGCTATAGTATATGTAAAGCATACTATAGTATTTCCTTAGTTTTTCGTATACGATACTTTTCAAGGCTATGTTCCAAAACGTCTTCTCCGAGGAAGATTTTACTCTATATGCTATAGTATACATCACGTGTACTAAATATTTCGAGTAAAATTTTGGGAAAACTCCGATTGCACACATCGCATATTGCACACATGTATCGCTTATTGGCTAATTTAAAAATAAAGTAATCTCATTGACAAAACAGTGAAAAATTACTAGGCACCAGTTGATATGAGTGGTGTTTACAATCAGAACTGTAGGCAAACGGGATCCTCCCAAAATTTTCCTTGGAAAGGAAGTTTTAGAACGTAGCCCAAGAATAGAGGCCCAGAGCATGATGTCAAAGAATAGCGTCTCTATTCTTAAGCCAGCGGCACACGATGCTTTTTTTCCTGCTTGCGTGTTACTGTGCTGGCAATCTGACTGACTGCTATGCTGGAAATTGTATGGCTTGCAGGCCCCGCTGTTGGCTGATCCGCTGGATTTTCGTGATAGAACCGGTGCTATTTTTCTTGCTTGATTTCATGCTGGCTTATTGTAGAACCAATCACGACGCCGCTTCATTTGAAGATGGCCGCTGGGAAGCGTGTAAACACATGCGATTAATTCTCAATCGACGATTTTTCATAAAACGAAAGAATCTGGCAGAAAAAGCGTTGCTCTTCCCCGCGAACCAAAATATTTATCGGTAAAGTTCATGACTCCTTAGGGCTCAGATTAGGAATTTTTATGTACTTGTAATAAATTCCAGTTGCTCAGCCAGTACTAAAACTCGCATCGTCTGAAGCCAAACTAGCAACACAGCCAATAGCACAACCAGCACTGTTGCCAACACGACAGCAAGCACGCAAATCCAGCTAGCAATCCAGCAGGAAAAAAAGCATCGTGTGCCGCTGGCTTTAGATTATGTGTTTGGTGTGGGGTGATCCCGATTGACCACGGCTCGATTGGACACCACCAATCACAGCGACCGGTGCTTCGGCTCTTTGTAGTCTCAAGCGCTGTGAGTGGCTCGTGTCCAATTGAGCCGTGTCCAACTGGGTGCCACCCAATCGCACCGAGCGGCGAACCACTCGGCGCCCCATAAAAGTACTTCGTGATTGGTTGAATTTTGTTCCGCTACCGCATGAAACGCTCAATGGCCGGTATTCATAGTCAATTCTTATTTCAAGACCGTCTTAAATAATGTCTTAAGACGCTAATGCAGCCCTCTGATTGGTTCGTGACTTCTTAAGACCGTACTTAAGACGGTCTTAAATATAAAATCTGACTATGAATCCCGGCCAATGTGACATATGCTGGATTCACCCTGCATCCGATGTGCGTCGTACGATGCTCTGCAGCCAATCAGAAAACAGGATTCCGATGGATTTTACTTCATATCATTCGAATCCTGTTTTCTGATTGCCTGCAGAGCATCGTACGACGCACATCGGATGCAGGGTGAATCCAGCAATAGGCCTCATGGGACTCTAACATTAGGCTGCTTTCACACGCAAGGAGATTTAAAATCAACTTTACGACGCGAAACAGGTCGGTATCAATAGTCGATTCTTAAGGCCATTCTACATTGGTCGTATCATAGCGTCGGAAGCGTCATAAGCATCATACGACTTAAAAATTGAAGCATCGGATTGGCTGAAGCAACAAGCTTGTGACTTGCGACGTCTACGACCAATGTAGAATGGCCTTTAGGCTCTGCGCATAATAGAAGGAATTAGAAATAAAGAATAAACGATTTCAACCTATCAGAACCCGTGTATTCCAATGTATCCAATTTTTGATAGGTTAAAATCGTTTTATCTTTATTCCTAATTTCTTATTCCTCCTATTGTGTGCAGGGCCTTACATTTAAGACTGCTTAAGAATAATTAACATGTCATAAATCAATCCGAGGACTGTATTAACATCTTAAGACTTATTATTTAAAACGATTTTAAAATATGAACGGACTATGAATACCGCCTCATGTTTTGCGTTTCACAGTTGGTAGCCCTTGAACCTTATGAACAGTCCGTAGACAGAGAGGGTAGAGATTTAGGAAGAGACTCCAACTGCACATACCATGTTATCGTTTCACCATGCTCCAGTCAGAGGACAAAATAGAGGAAGAAAAAGGTGCAAGGCAGAGAGAGAGAGAGAGAGAGAGAGAGAGAGAGAGACGGAAAATAAAGTCTTTCGTATCGCTATAAAGTTCTCCAATTTTCGCGTTACAACATGCTACTATTTGAAGAAATCAATCACGTCGGATAATGATTTCGATCGCGATAATTCGTTTTTCTCTTTGTTTTTCACGATTCGCGGGAATAAGCTGTCGCGAGTGTCATACCGTGAACGTGATTTGAGGCTCGCGCGTGAGGCTCCAAGACGGCCGAGTGCGGCCGAGCAAAGATCATCGGCCGGCCATTGGCCAATCGACGCGCGACTCTCTCCGGGCCAGGCCTGCGGTCGGCGACCAGTCAAGCTCATTGAGAGATAAAACGATTGCGACGTGCGACGCACAGTGCATCTCGTATAAGTGCAGTCGTAATTCTCGAACGGCGCGTTGCGGCATGTGCAACAAAACAACGGCACTTGTAGAAAATTGCAGAGTCACTGACGATCTCTCTACTGCTTTCAACGAACAGCGCGATCTTGTCTGCTATTTTGCGCAGTTCCCATGACCCAGATTACAAGATGGGGGGGATTCGTTCGTCTCTTGGAACAGCTTACAGCTGGGTGAGCCGTTGGCTACAATGGCTACGAGCTACGAGATTGCGCCGCGCGCACGTCTCCCTGCGTCTTACTGCGCATTGCTGCGCCCTCCCCACCTCTCTCTACCTACCTATCTACCAACCTACCCACCTACGTACCTACGCCTCAACAAAACTGCCGCCAGCGGCGCCGCAACTCAGGGCCGTATCGCCGTGTACGTAACACCGAGGTGTCTCCAATACCCCTATCGTATATCGGGATGTCGCGCAACGAGGGAAATGTCGAAATTCGGTTCAGATCTGCACTATTGAAAGCGCATGTGTACTTAACATTTGCATTTTCATTTTAGTCACAAGACGCGACAAATTCAAGAGAAAACGATAAAGGTTGAAAAACTCGTGCGAATTTTCGTTTGCCTAACAAAAAATGACGATAATCGCGCGAAGGATCATTCGGGAAAGAGACGCGCTTTTGCGTTTACATTTGGATCACGCGAATAACTATGCGGTGCTAACAAATATCGCTCAATTATAATACATACAATACATGTATATATGTAAGAATAATACCGTCATTGAATCTGCACGCAATCGGTCCCTACTATCTCCGTTCCTTAATGACCTCAATTCCTCCGTTTTGAGACTCATCGCATGCGTGCGAGAGAGAAAGTGAGAGAGAGAGAGAGAGAGAGAGAGAGAGAGAGAGAGAGAGAGAGAGAGAGAGAGAGAGAGAGAGAGAGAGAGAGAGAGAGAGAGAGAGAGAGAGAGCAGCGCACGCGACCACGAAAATCAGAGAAGCGACGATCACCCAAGCTCGATAGCTATCGATAACGCGTGGAAGAATTTCGACAAATTCGCTCTTGGTACTCTGACATCGGAACGTTGCTCGTTGCGCCAAGGATGGCACGGACGGTGGATCGCATGGCGATATTGGCGATGGCGGTGCGATGTCGTGGGAGGCGGCCTGACCATCGGTAGCAGCACCCGAGTGCCCGACAAGCCCGAGTGGTTGGTAACAGAGACGCCGCTGGTCGCGCCAGTACGCTCCTGCGCAGTACATTCCCCCCCTCCCCCCGCCCTACTATCATCTCCCGTCCCGCTGCGCGACCAGTCGGAGTCGGTTCCTTGTTTGCCATCACAAAATCCAATAGTTTGCCTTGTACCGCTGAAGGAGAGAGGGTGCACGGTTCGACGGTTTCACATACGCGTCTTGCGAAAAAGTGCGGTGAATCCTACGAGTCCAATGTAACGCACGTCTCTCGCTTACGCAAAAGATGTACATTATCCCGCGTTTATTTACCCATACTACAAGATTTCGCCGTTGCTAGAGTGACTTGGCGCGCGCGCATATTCGTGTAAGTGAGAACACTGTAAATTCCTACGAGCAACCGGACCGACCGGCCTGTTAAGGCTTCGTCGATTTTTTGGTCGTGAAAAAACAACGAACCAAGAGAGCTGAAGAGAAACAGTGAGTGAGTGAGAAAGAGAGAGAGAGAGAGGACAGAGAAGAAGATAGGTGTGGAACACACAGAAATTGCGTGAGAGGGAGGAGGAGTCTAGTACATAAGGAGAAACAGAGTGAGAAAATAAGAAAGAGAGAGAGAGAGAGCGCGGGCGCGCGCGCGCGCGCATGGTGCTGTGTGCGTGGATGCGTACATGTGTGTGAACGGAGCGAACGCGCGAACGCGAACGGAAGAGGAACAGAGAAAGGTGGAGACGGAGAGAGAGGGAGGGAAAGGAAGAGAGAGAAAAAGGAGAACTCTGTAAGTATAAGGGTCGATTATACGACGCCGTCGAGAGGCTCGATCGCGAGGGAAGTAGCTGGTGATACATCGAGGGTGTACGGTGCCTGCTTTGGTGGCGGTGGTGGTGGCGGCAGCGGCAACGGCAGCGGCGGCGGCGGCGGCTGCGGCGTCGGTGGCGCTTCGCGGAGGAAGTGACCGCACGCGGCGCGGACGTACGTTACTTGTCGCGGAGTCCGCTCCGAGAATGCGTTATGTATTTACGTAGAATATTGCGTAACGTACAAGGGGCCGGCTAGAGTGTGTTTAGAAACGTGCGTCGTCTTAGAATTTCACAACATAGATCGACAAGAACTACCGGCGCAAAAGCAAGTTTCGCGCGTGCATACGCAGCAGGAATCCAACCCGGCCACCGACGCGATCGAAAGTTTCGGGGAGCCAGAGCAGAGTCAGCGACAGTGCACTATTCCCGACGACAACCGAGAGACGTATCTCGATCTCGACGTTCACCGTCACCGTTCGTATTCTTCGTCGTATTTGTACGGCAAAACCTACATAGGAGATAGGAACACGGAACGTGTTTTTTTCAGATGGAAATTGGTACGTATGGACAAAAAGATATTCACTGCAATGTTCGGAACGTTTATCTACTTGTTTATCATTTTCCTCGTGTATTTGACGCGACTTTTTCTACATATACGCGGCACCGCGTCGACAATTCTGCAACGGAGCTCGATCGGGTCTCCCTCTCCC